GAGACCCCATAGAGATCCCATCTGCACACATCGGGACACACAGAGACCCATAGGGACCCCATACAGACCCATAGATCCCATAGAGACCCATAGAGACCCATACGGACCCCACAGAGTCCCCATAGGGACCCATAGAGACCCATAGGGACCCCATAGGGACCCATAGAGACCCACAGAGACCCATAGGGACCCCATAGAGACCCCATAGGGACACCATAGGGACCCATAGGAACCCCACAGAGACCCCAAAGGGACCCCATAGGGACCCATAGAGACCCCATAGGGACCCACAGAGACCCATAGGGACCCCAAAGGGACCCATAGATCCCATAGGGACCCACAGGGCCCCACGGGGGGGCACAGTGTGGGGGTCCCTGGGGGTCCATCGCCCCCATGTTCTCCATCTCCCAGTTACGGTCGCCATGGCAACGAGGGGCACGGCCCCCCCCCCAAAAATAATGCCATAAAGGCAATAAAGGGCAGCGTCCCCAAATCCGGGGTTTTTCGGCCCAAAATGGTGCCCCCCCCCCCGGAAGTGATCCCATAAAATGATGAGTCAGCAGAAATAGCCGGGAAATGGGTGAAAAGGGAATAAAATGAACGATTAATTGCTAAGTTAATGAGTAGAACAATGGGGTGGGAATGGGGGAAGAAAGGGAAAAATGCAGAAAGTGGGAAACAATGGGCGAAAAATGGGAAATTAGGGGGAAAAAACAAATAAAGAAGGAAATCATCAGCACAGACTAATTAATAATGGAAATCACCATGAAATTGATGGAAGGCAGGAAACAAAAGCACAAAAATGGAGAAAAATGGGGAAAATTTATCTGCAAAAAATGCGGGTTTCTGTCGATTGACTGATAATTAATAGCAAGATATTGATTGCAATTAAACCCAAAATGGAGGAGCAGGAAACGGGGAAATTAGCGGACAGAAATTAATGGTAAGAAATTAATTAATGCAAATTAATGGATAAAAAATGGGGAAAACAAAGAGGGAAAAAACAGAAAAATTGGAGATGGGGAAAAATGCAGGAAAATGGGAAAAAAACGCTAAAAATGCAGAAAATGAAAATGGGGAAAAGCAGAAAAATGCATAAAAACGCAAATAATGGGAATTCATAAATGGAAATAAATAATAGAAACAGAAAAAATAGAAATAAATGGCAGAAAAACCAAAATACCAAAACAAAAATGTACAAAATACCAAAAACAGAGAAATGGGGAAAATTTATTGAGAAAAAAAAAAACCAAAAATGGGAAAATGCTGCAAATGAGTGAAAATAAAACCAGAAATGCAGGAAATGGCAGAAAAATGCGGAAAATGGAAACGCAAAAAATGGGGAAAATGGAGAAAAACGGCAGAACGAAAAACGGGGAAAAAAGCCCCAAAAAATGGGAAAATGGGGGGGACGAAAATGCACAAAAATGGGAAAAAGCGCAAAATCGGAAAAAAAGCCGAAATGAACCCAAAATCCGCGGGGCTGCGAAAAATGGGGGAAAAATCCACAAAAAGGGACAAAACGGGGCAGGAAAACCCAGAAATTGAGAAAACGGGGGAAAATACCTTAAAAAAAAACCGCATTAAAAGAAGCCGAAAGGGCACCGAAAATCCCCTTAATTGGACCCGGCTCGTTTCAGTAATTAAGCAACGAAGCGCCGCAATGGGGCATTTTGGGGCAATTTGGGGCACTTTGGGGCTTTTGGGGCCATTTTGGGCCATTTTGGGGCTATTTTGGGGCATTTTGGGGCATTTTGGGGCATTTTGGGCATTTTGGGGCATTTTGGGGCTTTTGGGGCATTTGGGGCATTTGGGGCATTTTG